TATCAACAAATAACTTGTTATTACCCATGTGAACCTAATTCATGGGATCTCCCATCACATAAGTTGGGTTACTATTATTTATTGATTTCTTCAATTGGCTTAAATCCCATTCCTCTCGATGTAGCATGAATTAATTTTCTTCCCAAGGGTGTAGTCAAAGGATTGGTCAAATTCAACTCTGACTTCACATAATCAATGGATATAATTCCAACTCTAAGCAGCTGCTTTACTACATCCTGTCTTAAACAAATGTGTCTATTTTTACCATTGAAAATTTTATTCTTTGCAATGGATATTGTTGCTTGGTAATCACAATGCATAGACATAGAAGGTGTTGGTTTCATTCCCAATGGAATATCTATTAAGAGATTTCTCAACCACTTAGCCTCATTGCTAGCCAACTCTAAAGCTACAAATTCTGACTCCATTACAGATTTAGCAATTATTGTTTGTTTGATTAATTTCCAAGTTATAGCACCCTGACCAAGGGTGAATACATAAAAATTTATGAATTTTATCTCATCCGAATCAGAGATCCAATTAGCATCATTGTATCCTTTTAATACAACAAAAAATTCATTATATAAAATACCATAGTTTATGGTACCTTTCAAATATTTCATCATTCTACTCAAGGCAGTCTAATGATCTCGATTGAGACTTTGTATATCTCTACTCAGTATAAACACAGCATAAGCTATATTTGGTTGAGTATAATTCATCAAATGCTTTAAACTCCCAATAATCTGTGCATACTCAGGCTGAGCTATACTATAACCTTTATTTTTTCTTTAATTGGATGGTACTATTATAAAGAGTACTCATAAGTGTGATATCAAAATGTCCAAACTTTTTAAGTAACCTTTCAACATAATGCTCTTATGTTAGCATTAAGCCACTATTACATCTTATGATTTTAATACCCAAAATAATATTAGCTTCTCCTAGATATTTCATATCAAATTTGAAAGCCAAAAAATATTTTGTTTTATTGACCACATCAATGCATATACAAAAAAAAAAGGCATATCATCAACATATAAGCTAATAATCACACATTCACTATCAACAGTTTTTATGTACACACATTTATCAACTCCAACAGTAGAAAATCCATTACTAATAAGAACTTAATCAAATTTCTTATGTTATTGTTTTGGTGCTTGTTTTAAACTATATAATGTTTAGTCAATTTACAAACTTTATTTTCTAGATTAGGATGAGCACATCCCTCGATTTGTGTCATATAAATTTCTTCTTCTAAATCACCATTTAAAAAAACAATTTTTACATCCATTTGATGAACAACAAGTATATAAATTGAAGCTAAGGCAAATAAAACATGAATAGATGAAATTCTTGTTATTGAAGCAAAACTATCAAAATAATCAATATTTTGTTTTTGAGTAAAACCCTTTGCAACTAATCTAGCTTTGTATTTATCAATTGAACCATCAGAATTAAATTTTCTTTTAAAAATCCATTTGCAACCAATTGGTTTGGCTCTGAGTAGCAAATCAACCTATTCTCAAGTTTTATTTTGTAAATTCGAATCAATTTCATTTTGTATGGCTTCTTTCCGAAATGGACTTTCTTTAGAAGAAATTGCATCAGTATAAGTTAAGGGATCATTATCTACAAGATAAGTATAAAAATCATCACCAAAAAAAATCATCTCAAATCATCATTTTGTATTTTAAAATCATTTTTACTAAAAGGTGCATGAAAAATTGTATTAGTTCTTAATGAAAAAATATACTAGAAAAATGCAGCATTTTCTGTTTCAACAATTGTATTATAATCAAGACATTACTTTTTAATACAAAAAATCTATATGCAACACTATGTTCAGCATAACCAATAAACAAGCAATCAAATGTCTTAGAACTAATTTTTCTCTTTTTAAATTTAAGAAGCATTACCTTAGCAAAACACCCCCACACTCTCAAATATTTTAAGTCAGGAGAATAACTTTTTCATAATTCATAAGATGTCCTACCAGTTTTCTTATAAGGAATTCTATTTTGAATATGACATGCAAATAATAAAGCTTCATTTCATAAATTTTTATGTGCATTTAAACTAACAAGTATAGAGTTTATTATTTCTTTTAACGTTCTATTTTTCCTTTCAGCTACATTGTTTGATTTAAGAGAATATGGAGGTTTAATTTCATGAATTATTCCTTATTTTTCATATATATCATTAATCGATATATATTCACCTTCTCTATTTGATCTAACTTTTTTTATTTTTTTATTTAATTGATTTTCTATCTCAGCTTTATATTTAATAAACATGTCCAAAGCTTCATCTTTATGCCTAAATAAATAAGCTTTAGTAAATCTAGAATAATCGTCAATAAATGTAACATAGTATTACTTACCACATCTACTTATAGTTTATTTTAGATCTCCTAAGTTAGTATGAATTAAACTTAATAATTTAGATTCTTTATTTACTAAAATATAAGTTTTCTTAGTTAGTTTCGTTTCAGCAAATATCTCGTACTTATTAAAGCATACATTTTAATACTAAAAATTAAACGAAGTGATTACATTTTTTTAATATAAGGAATCCTAACTTATCTTAGTACCATGGCATAAATCAATAAAGTCAATTATGTAAGCAAAAAAACTAGCATTTTCATTGAGAACATTAGAAATATTAAGTATTAAGAGTCTCTGATTGTAATAACCCTTACTCACAAACACATTACTTTTTGTCATTACGATCTTATCAGATTCGAATTACACTTTCACCCCAATCTTGCCCAATAAAGCCACAGACACCAGGTTGGTCCTTGTATTGGAAACATGAAAAATACCATTTAAAGCTAAAGTCTTGCTAGATGTGAGCTTGAGAAAGAGTTTCCCTTTACCCAAAGCTTGAGCAATTCTAGAATCACCAAGGTATATTCTTCTCCTTCCCCTATTAGAGTATAGGAGGTAAAGATATTTCTGTTTGCACAAATATGCCTAGTAGCACCTGAGTGTATGACCCATTCTTTCACATTGGCCACCATAATCACTTGTGAAATGACCATAGCAATTACATCATGGGATTCATATGCTTTGACCAAGTTGACCTTTGGATTAATACGTTTGTCATTTTCCTTTGCCTTCTTTCTGAACTGTTCTGTATGACGCCCTGGCTTTCCACAAACAAAACAATTATCTTTTTTCTTAAAAATGGGATGAGAAGTTTTGGGTTTATTGTCAAGTTTATAAGGGTACCTTTGTTGACACTGGGTTCTGCCTTGAATCAAATTGGTTTTAGTTTCAACTTGTTTTTGCTTTGAAAGGCTTAATCTTCCTTCAGGTTGTGTTTTCAATGAGGATGTGCACAATCAAGTCTACAAGTGACAATTGCTTTTCCTTGTGCTTCAGTTGTTGCTTGTAGCCATTCCATGATTCTGGCAGCTTCTCTATCAACAACCTAGTAATGAACTCCTTTTACAAGTTGATTTTTTCAGCCTTCAAATCATCCACCAACTTATGGTATTCATTGATTTGAATTTTGATGTCCTTGTCATTTATCATCTTTCAATAATAGAAGTTACCAATCATGAACTTCTGTTTCTCAACATCTTCCGCAATGTATTTGGCAATCATTAACTCCCATATTTACTTTGCTTCTTTGTAGGAACTGTATACATCAAACAGCTCATTAGAAAATGTGTTAATGATTGTATGCCTACATACCTTATTTACATGCATCCATGGTTCCAGCATCTTGACATCATCTGGCTTAGAATCAATTAGCGTAAAAGCCACCCCATGAACATGAAGGATTAAAAATTTTATTTCTTGCCATCTTTTGAAGTTTCTGCCATAAAAGACTTCTATTTTAAAAATATCTAGAAATGGTTTGGCATATGAAACCGAAGGCATAGAAGGAACGATCAACAAAATGGGAGCCATGGTGGAACCATTAACAGTGGTGGTGGCAGTAGGGACAGAGGCAACAACATTATCAACATGGGAATCCATTATCCTTAAGATTATTAGAAAATTAAAAAATAAATGAAAATAAAATAAAGCAAGTAAGAACACTAGGTAGTCGGAGGCGTGGTATCACAATTCTTAGGGATAATTTTACCTTTTTGGAATATAAAACTCAATGTAAAAGGATTGTAGCTATTATCCTTTAAAATTCAACAAATCCTTCCTTATAGTTTGCACAAACTATTAAGAGATGAAAGAAATAGTAGAAGCAAGAACCCAACCAGGAAGGAAAGGAAACAAAGAAAATATGTTGAAAATAGAGAAGAGGAGATGAGAGGCTTTTGGTGTTTTGCAAGTGAAGTAGAGAGGCTTTATTTATAGATAGGGAATGAAGTGAACGTTGCATCAAATAAGGTGAACGTTGCACTAAATTAGGGAGTTGGGAAAAAGCCTTAAGGAGTTAAAGAAAAAACCTGGTCAGCATGTATACTTAGTCAAGTATACGTTATAACAAAATTAGAAGAGTCATCAGCATGGTAGAGTATTTAGTCAAGTCAGATAGCATTGGTGCTAAACCAGGAAAGTTAGACAAGTATGATAGAGTTTGAGTCTGATTCAATCAAAGTTTGAAGGAGGCTAAAAAATTAAAGCTAATGTACAAAATTCACTTGGGCCAAGCCCACGTGTGTATTCTTGTGCAAAGGGGGAAATCTAACAAAATTAAAAGAGCCATCAGCATGGTGGAGTATTTAGTCAGATAAACGTTGGAGCAAAACCAGGAGAGTTAGGTAAACATGATAAAGTTTGAGTCTAACTCAATCAAAGTTTGAAAGAGGTTGAAAAATTAAAGCTAAGGTACAAAAGTCACTTAAATCTAACCCACGTGTATATTCTCGCATAGGGAATGAAGAATCTGAAATTTTTCAAGATTTGGCCTAATCTTGTGTATGCTTGAGGTCACTCATTTTTCCTTATTTACAACAAGCTCATAATGGGTTTTTATATATAAGACATTCACCTCTCTTGTATCTTAACAATGTGAGATGTTCGAACTTTATGAAATGCACTATTTTCCAACAAGGAATTCATTGGCGTATAAGATGGTTGTATTTACTAGTACAATAAAGGCTCTTGATTCTGGAACAATTTGCACAAGAAAAATGAAAAAATCATCTCAAGGCAAAGGCATGGGTGGTTTCCAATTATGAAACTCTACTAAATCTCTATTTACGATAGTCCCATTATGAAGCCAAAAGGTCTCAGCTGATTGGTGGAATACCCTGACTTTCCTCTGGAGTTCCCACAAGATCCCATGCATTGCTGAACATGGTTCTGACTCTGGAGCATAAGTCCATAAGCACTTCACTTGTCTACCACGAGCTATCATACCCATTATAACTTCATCTGAAAAGAAACAAAATGAAAAAGAATGAAAAGCTGAAACATTGGAGATAACAAGGCAAGGGAATGGTGAATCAACCAACCTGGAATAGATTCAAGGTACTCCAAAAGTTGGGGACCTATCCGAGTAGCTGGCCATTTTATTGTTATCTGAGTGTAGTCTATTACATTTTGAAAAGGTAATTCTATTTGATCTGATATGATAACTGGAACACATTCCTATACGACAAACATCATTTAGACTGTATGTAAAATTGGAGAAAAACAAATAAAAATGGGGAGTGGGAGTGAGGACAAACCACAAAGAAAGATTCATAGAAGCGCAACGTCCATGATGATAATCCACGAGGAATTAGGCAGAATTTCGCATTACGTAGGTGTTCAAAATACTCCAGCTTGAACAACTTGTCAGGGGGATCATGCTTCAAATCTGGAGCCTCCAACTATTTATGAAACAATGAATAAAACTGAATCATTTCTTCTGTAAAATATATATAATAATGACTTTGCTATATCAATGTTGAGATGGCCGAGTTGGTCTAAGGCGCCAGATTAAGGTTCTGGTCCGAAAGGGCGTGGGTTCAAATCCCACTCTCAACATTGGCTTTTTGTCTTTCCTTTCATAAATGAAATAGTAAGTCTGTTAACTGAACACCATACCTTATCTGGATACTGTCTCGCCAGCTCTAGTAACTGAAGACGCCCTTTCAATCCTTGTGCACGTCCTAAATAATTTGCCAAGTAGTTTCGCTTTGATAAAGGTAAAGGCTCAACCAGGGCAGCACCATTTTTAGTCATCTCATCATGAACATTGCCAGGAATGATGATATCTTTCCATGTATGAAAGGAACTTGAGTTTTTATTATCAGTTCGATCCCCCTGCATTAGCACATCAAAGTCAAGCATTCTTAAGCAACTTTGTGACTTCTAATAAATTTATTCAGAATAATCGTAAATGCACATGCCAAGCCAAGCAAGCATTGTACCTCTGGAGTAAGAAATATTGAACGGTTTAAGAATGTTTTCCAAGATGTGAAAAAGTGAGCTCCATTACCACTGCATCAAGTGAAAAGCATATATATATGCATTTGTAGAGGTAAGGAAATATTGTAAACTCTTAATTCAAATGCAATTGAATAAGTAAAGCTCTTGTTCAAATACCATTAATTCTGATTAATTATGTTATATTGAGTTCTACCAAGTTTCCCTCATTTAGCTAAGGCCTACGCATGCCTTATAGTGACAGCAGAAATAAGATCCAGCAATCAAGATCGAGCCTCACTTGCAGGTTGAAAGTTTCGATGAGCAGCTTCCTATTCAGTAGCTTAGAAGATAGAAAGCCACAATTATGTCCTGTTTATGACTTATCAATTAACCAAATCTGTATAACGACTAAGAGGATAACATCAAATTGACATCTCGATTTCATACAACTTTCCTGCAGAAAATCTGAGAGCCAGCGATTCATATTCATACCTTGGGAAGACAAATATGTGGTCACGACCCCCAGATCGCCTAAAATATGGCATTTGACTTAAGACCTGCAAAACAACACTTCAGAACGGTCATTCTAGAGTAAGGACTTTGGTCATGTGATTACACATTTATCTGAATACAAACAAAGACATGCAAACCAAAAGAATGTAAGTACTGTTAGCTAGCCATGAACTGAATTTGATCTTACCTCAACATAGGTCTGGTTAATCTCTTCTTCTGTAAGAGCTTCCATCATATGAACGCATTTAACATATGCTGGCACAAAGAAGAAATCTGCTTCCTCTTTCTTTCTCGTCCGAAATCTTGAGTTCAGCAGCAATCTGTGTATTTTAACCTACAAATTACAGCGACCTACTTTATTACTAATTAAAATCAATACCGATTGCGGCATTGTTACTAATTTTAGCCGTAGTTAGCACTTGGTATGTAACTTTGGATACCTGAGTGCCCCATTGGCCTTGATAGCAAATATCAACGTCGACGACACCTTCTTTCCCATACATCAATGGCTTTAATCCGTCAATCTCGTTCTCATCATAAACGTAAATCTTGAGGGAAAGGTGAGACCCATATCCTCTCTCTGGCCAGGAAGGATATCCACCATTGGAGTGCGCCAACTTTCTAGGTGAGCGGTCGTGATTGAATATCGAGCACTGAGTATTGTTGTGCAGAGCTGAGGGCAGATGGTCCCAGAGCCGGTTGATGAAGAGGGTGGCAACGATGAGGAGCAGGGCGCCTATCTGATGGGTGTTGGTGCACGGCGTCCCATGATTCCAGATTCTTTTTGTTCTATGGTAGGAATTCAAGGTTCCCATAGAGAACCAAATTAAACATGCAATGCTTGGAAAGGAAGAAGAACACAAAATATAGGAATTTATGAATGGCTTGTCAATTGTCATTCCATCCTTATTTAATACTCAAAAGACCTGTGAATTAACAGTTTTAAATGCCGTAATAATTCTTCGGAAAGTGAGGGGTCACATATGTGATTGTGGCATGGGAATACGAAGAAGAAGCCCGCTCGGAAAACATTCATTGACTAAACAGCAGCATATATAATTTGTTAAACAAAATGCAACAGCATTCAGAAGAATCCAGAATGACCACTGATGCAGCCCCGTGAAACATCAATTGCTTTGTTATCAAATTTACAGCCAGTGGAAGGTTGCGAGGAAGAGGAATTCGCTGCCCGCCTCTCCTCTTCCCTGTTCTCTGAATTCTGGATGTTTCAATGTTTGGGAAGAAGACAAAAACACACAAAACAGAACACACGTGTGATTATGAAGGGGAAGCATGGGAGAGTGGAGTGGATCCCACTCAACATCTTTGCCACTTGGAATTCGGAGAGAATAGCAGAATAAAAAGAGATGCCGTTCGCGGTGGCCTTTGATCCACCAATTTGTAAAAGAACCAAAGCAAGCACTGAGCCAGAACTAATGGTACCATTAATTCAATTGGTTGATTATGAAGCATATAGAAATTAATGTGTCAGACCCATCATTGTGTGAGATTGAAGCATTTGCTATTCCAGGCATGTTTATGGCAAGTCATAACATGTCAATTTAACTGAGTTCTGGCGCTATTACTAGTTTTCATTTTAGGGCATCGTGGAGAAGTCAAAATCCCACATGCGATTCATGGGTGACGTGCATTTTGAATGATCAATTATGCTCATGATTTACGTGCATGCGATCCTAATTGCAAAACTCAAGCCATAAATTTCGGTTAAATGCAGAAAGGATGATAATGATGAGAGATGGATTTAAACTCTTCACTGTACCCCTGAACTAGCAATAATAAGCTGAAAGATTTTTTGTTGCTGAAGACAATGTCATCTGCCTCATATTTCAACATTCACAAGGAATGAAATTCATGACTTCTCGAGGAAAACTTATACTTTTTCACATTTAGGGTGCGTTTTTTGTTTAAGTAAAATTCTTTTGAAAAATATTTTCAAGACATAATGACGTTTGGATGATTGAAAATGAATACCTTTTGCGAGACTTAAGACAATTTTCACCACACTATAAAAAAAAATCTTGTTAAAACAAAAATTCTTACCCTAAAGCCTTAAATCCTTAGCTCCATCATCCCTTACTTCTAACATAGTTTGAACATTCACTTTTATTTCCTTCAAAATAATAAGATATTGTGATTTGAAAGTTTAAATGATTAAATACCCATCTTATATTTCCTTCAAAATAATAAAACACTTGCAGGCTTACAGTAAATATTTTTCAAAAGATATCCAAATAATGAAAAAAATTTACAACAATTTATCTAAACAAGGAAAAATATTAAATTTTATTACAAAATATTTTACACAGAAAGAACTTATCAAATGTACTCTTAAAATGATGTTAAATGCTGTACTTTTCGAGCCTCACACATGTATGCAAAAGAGGTGTGGCCGGGTTTTCACATTATGCTCAGAAATCGGCCCTCGTTTATCCATAACCAGTTCTTGTAAAACTCTCCCCATCAACTGGCCTGTTTCCAGCCACCATTCTCTTTGGTGTTGATATTAAGCAGAGATGGTTTTGCGTGCTCCACCTTAACGTTTCTGTAACCACCTAGTCGGGGACCGGACATTGAAGTTGAAAGTTTTCTCTTATTTTCTCATCAGTTGGCATCAAGTTAAAAGTTTTTAGACATTGAAGTTGGATAATACGTCTCTTTCATGGGCCAAAACAAAAGAATCTAGTTTCCAAAATCAGAGAGTCCCTTGGCACACGAGAAACGACCTTGATTGCCTTTGCTAATGGTCCTTTGGTCTCTAAGCCTAAGTGGAATAGATGCACTTTGGTAAAATAGACAACTAGAAAAGCCTATCTTACATATGTTACCCAAGGAATGTCCAGAAATTAAAAGTTGAGATTTCTGCCGGAGATCTAAGGGTTGGACGCAAAAGAGGGAGAAGGGGATGAACTAATTTATGAAATAGGAGATCTTTTATTACGTAATTTAAAATATTTGTCTATGGAAAACGAAATTATATTAGTAATTTTGTAAACAATAAATTATAGAAGGAAAAGAAATCAAAATTATTAATAATTTTTTAAAAATAAATATTCAAACTTTACTTTTTAAATAATAGATTATGTACTAATCAATAAATTAAATTATTAATAAACTTAAAAGATTACAGCTTATGGATTTTTGAGACAAATAATAATAGAAAGAAAGAAGTCAAGTAATATACATATGGTTCATAAATGGTAAAGCTTACAACTTGCAACTTGGCTAGAACCTCCAAATTTAGATATTGGGAATCGAACATTACAAGCTGATTCATCCATTAACCTGGTTCTGTCTTAGGCCAGCTGGTAAGCTCATGCAAGTTGGACAAAATAGGTCGAAAAGCTTCAACACTTGTATGGACTCCACTCCTCCACGACAAATGAAAAATAGCAATTGACATCGTTGAGATACAAGGACCGTTTAGATCCGTCTGCTAAATCAGAAAGCCAAATTTCTCTTCTGTACTCAAGTCAGGTTACTGTCTCGAGAGCTTCACTACAATATTCCAGCGATGATGCAATTATTTAATGTGTCAGGGCTCTTTGCGGCTTCCAATGGCTGTGTTCTTTCTTTCCTTGATTATTTTTTGCATCAATATTTTCTTTGTTCTTGTTTGGTTTCCTTAAATAGAGTAATTACCTATGGAAATTTTTTTTCCTAAGCTTAATAACTATGCTAATTACAGACACATAAAGCTCCGTTTTGTTAGCAATTATACAGCACTCTCTAGTTATACCTGTATTAGCAATGTAAAATGATTAGTTGAATAGGAAGAAGTCAACTGTTTTTGTCGAAATTAACACCTATAAATTAAGAAATCTAGTTGCTCATTTAATTGCTCTTTGCCCCGAATTCTTCATGATCACTCAAGAAACTCCCACCGGCATCAAAAATTGACGTTCATTTCTTGGTAAGTAACTCCCCTTTCTTGCAACAACTTAATGTGTAATTCATCAGGCCCCTCATGGATAAATTCCTTGAACCAGGCCTTTGGGCATACAAAATACACAATATGCCTTAATTTATTTATCGTACAATGGCATACCTACCATATTAGCTTCATAATTTCCAGTGAACTGATCAATTGACAGCACTGCAAACTCGCCGAATTTCTCCTTGTGAACCTGATTTCACCCCAATGTTTCCCATCTTCACCATTGCTTTAGCAAAATCCCCATTAAAAGATGATCTTGTTCCAGAACTATCAGAGCTGATATAAGAGTCAAGAATTTGCCTGGTCTTTTCGTCGTCGTTGAGCCTAGCATCGGAAGCTATCACCGCCGTTCCGTCTCTGATATTGCGCAGGATATGGACATCGAATACATTTTGAGTCGCCCAATCAAGAGGTATTCGGACATTGACATCTCCATTTAAGGGGCAATGAGCTTTGAGCTGTGGTAGGAAGCGAGGGTTAATTGCTGGATCAGAACCTCCCCCTGGGGTGAAGTTGTAGAGTCTATGTTGCATGAAGAAACAGGCTGTAAGCCCAATTGTATGTGCACCTGAAATACAACTCATCTCTAAGTATATATGAGTTTCAGGTCCTGGAAATTCATTACCGTAATCGAAATTATAATCATCTTGAATTTATGGATTAGGCCATTAGGCACATACCACCACTTAAAAGAACAAGGTCTTTATCAGAAAGACCTTTTGCCCTAAATTTGGATTTGAGAACATGGATTGAATCATCAACATCAGGCAAGTTTTCAGCCAGGGACATCCTTGAGAGCCGTCCATCTCTGCGGCCGGTTGGAACATCATAAAATGGCCCCTTAACCTGCACAAAACAGGTTGCAGCAGGCAATATAACATAGAAGATGTAAACCAAGAAAAGCGTTTTACAAATGTAACTTACCAAGGATACAGCATCTCTCGCAGCTAAAGCCACGATGTCTGCGCAAGAAACAACTCCGGGGCACAGATTTTCCAACTGTGCTTTGGCGCTCTCTATGATGTCAAAACCTTGAACTCCCAAGTTTCCTTGTGCTTTTAGTTCACCATCCGCATCATTTTCTATCAGAATCGACCCATCACAGCCCTGAAATTAAATAACATCAACAATAGAAGAAGCATTGAGATTGTTTATATGTGGGTTTGCAGGGAGAAGAACAGAGAGAGAAGGGGAGAGAGAGACTTCAACAAAGCAGTCATGGAACTGAAGCCTTAGCAAAATTGCAGCATTCCTAGGACTGTCAGCCACTGCTTTCTGAACAACTTTGTGGACGATAGATTCAGCAGTGGGGCATGTTTTCGAGTAGAAGCCAACTCTTAGTTGGCCTTGGGCAACACCTAAAGTGTTAGGAAGAATAAGCAAAGCCCAAATCAGGGCAACTAAAGTGTGTTTGAGCATTTCGGAAGTCAGAAATGTCATTGAACTAATGAGTGGAGGGGAACTTAGGACTAATACTTAGAGAAGAACGGAAAGAGTGTTTTGGAAGAGATGGCTTAATTACCAGTTATGATCTCTTGAATATGGCCGTTGAGCTTTATGTCTCCTTTGCTTGTCTACTTGTATGCCACTGCGACCTTTTTCCATTCCCCTATTTCCAATAATTGGAATTAACTTGACCACTCATACTATCAAGGTGCTTTTTCTCGTCTAGATTTAACAAAGGGAAAGAAAGAGGCAATTGTTGTCGTGGGCGTAAAGAACTCATTACGTATGATCAAGTTCTGGTATGCCATCTGTATTGTTTACCCTAAATCTTTTTGATTAACTTGGCTGCATAGGTTATGCAGTATGTTACATCATGCGTTAGAATTTAAACAAAAATTACCATATTTTGCTTTTTAATCTAGTATGATTGTAGTTCTAATAAAAATGACAGCATGTTTTGATCTGGCATAATAGTTGGCATTTTGATCGTAGGTGCAA